TACAAATACTTGCCTACCAGATATTTTGTCCAGAAAAAAAGGTAAATGTAAAAAAATTCAAGAAAAACATAAAGGAATAGATGTTTTTAAAGAAGGAGCAATATTAGTCTCTGGAAACCACACAGTTGATGAAAAGACAAATTCTTTACGAAATCGAAATTATACAAATATCAACAATATAATATATGAAAATGTCGATTGCAAAATTTGGAAATATTGAAAGAAGAATCATGTTAATAAAGAATATAAAAAAGAACTGAAACTAATAAATAAAGAACTTTAACTTGAAAATATAAATATTTTAGCTGAACGCATTAAAGTTTTTAAACACCATTAATTTTTATGGTACATAATTGTAATTTTGATATAGGATTGTAAAATTTAAAAAATCTTATGGAACTTCCAAAATAAATAAAAATTTAGAATTTCAAGAAATATCATATAACGCTATTTTGGATAAAATTAACAACCTATCAAAAAATGATATTGAAGAAGGGAGTTAACGGCCGCCTCCACACAGCAGCTTTAAGGTAACTGTAAACAAAATGTTACTAAAGCTCTGTAATAATGCAGTCGCACTAATTATTGGTCACTTAGGAGTTCGATATGCTTTTTCCCTTCTGAATGGAATAATTCATTCTTAACAAAATATTGCTGGTGGCCCTCACACGAAGATAATTGTAAACTAAACAGAACGCTTAACGTTCTGCTGAAATATGCCGTATAAGCTACTTGTATTGTAACTGATACTCTCCTTATTGTAAGAATTAATCATTATTGTGAAATAGCTTTAAGCAAAATGTATAAATAAAAGTAAGTTGGAAATAAAGAGTTCAGTTTTCCATCAGGACAACCAAAATAATCGTTGTTGATATATTCCGCGTGTTCCCGGAAAAACTTATATATTTTTAATACTTCCTTATAAAGGGAAGTTTATTTGCATGCATTTTGATACGTACAAGAAAAGTCGCAGATAAAAGCACTCAGACAGCCCTGGCTGGCTGTATATACATGACCCAAATTTGATTTGAATAAACCGGTGTACGCATCAACTAGTGTGCCTTGCTTGCGAGGTATCCATTTTTTCGATTGATCCATTTTAAAATAGCGTGCTACTTTTGAAGAAGAGTGTTTGTGCAAAGGCACAGAAAACATTTGCACGATTACACAATTCAAAAAATTCGATGAGCGAAGTTTTTGGTGGATTTGTAACGCTAAGAAGCGCTGTTTCGTTTGTGAACGGCTTCGGCCGTTTTCGAGATGCACAAAGAAATTATATTAAATTCGCTATGAAAATGATATGATTAACTTGACTTGATGAGAATAAAATAAGCTTATTTTCATTCCTACCCCGTGATGTTTGCAGGTTGAGAAGTGACAACGGGAGACACCTGGCGGGGAGAACAGATTGGTTGATAAAACCACTATGCTACATGAAAATTATAGCATACAACAATTATTATATTCGATTGCCTCTGGATGAAATAGAATAATATAAAAATTGTGACTAAAAATCTGCGGTTGATTGTATAGGTGTAAAAACTTATAATTGTATGTAATTTTCAAAAGCAAATCGTGAAAAAATTAAACAAAAAAATTTGTAAAAAAAAGGTTATATTTATATTTTATTTATATTTAACCGTTAAGAGGTACGAAAAATAAGATGTTGGCCTATTTTCAGACCTACCCGATAAGCACACCAAATTTGATCAAAATCCGTTCAGCCGTTTCGGAGAAGTTTGGCAACAAAATCCGTGACAATAAAATTTTATATATTAGAGAAATATTTAATAAAATTATCAACGCTCTCAAATTTAAAAACTTACTTCGAATCGCCAATTATGGAATTAATAGCATGATGAAAAAGAGAAACTGTACTTTGTCTCGAAAGTAACAGTAAAAATACGCATTAAAGAAAAGTTAGTGTTAAAAAGAAAGAGTTACACCCTTCATGTCATCATCAATGTTTCGCGTAGAACAATTTTTTGAATTGGCGCTTTTAAAAAACAATTCAGGTATATCCAACACCATCACATCTTCTTGTCTATATAATGCGAATATCTCGAAAATAGTAGGTCTCCTGCGGATATATACGAGTACATTTGTATTTATATTACTGAACTGGGGAACACCTTCTATCCGAAATCGAGGATGCTATACTAAAGCCCAATTGGTAGCCCAATGTAGTTGACAGAGAAGAAACACGCAGACTATTGTAGGAAAACTACCAAAACCAACATTTATTAGTACCAAAGATAAACACCAAACTCAAGATAACACTCAATACCCAGGACTCTGATGAGACAGGGTGTAGGGGGCTTAGAGAAAACAGTATACAAAACATATATATATATATATTGTAAATAAATGAAGCGTATTTTAGTCGGCGTATGGTTTGGCGGAAATAAGTTGATACCTTGTATGTATATATGTCAGAATAAACAGACATCTTTATTTGTGCATGCCGAAGGAGAGTTTTCGTCCTCTTGCGAAAAAAACGGGTATGGAAAGAAAAGTGTTTTTTCTTCAACATGCCGTGACCCTTAACATGCAACCCAGCATCTCCCAAAGCCCATAATAGTTTAATTGTTTAGTATAAAGTTTTGCCAACCCCTAAAAACTTTGGCTTTGATCCTTCGGTTACACCCGAACTTAGCTCTTCTCTACTTGTTTTGTATATGTTTATTTGCGTTCCTGAAGTTTTTTCAGCGACCATGCTCCATAAGAAGGGAAATAGAACTGCACCTTGTAGGGTACCAACACACTACTTTACGGCCGTCTTAATCATTCTGACGCAAAGAAGACTGATGATAAGGTGTTTGACATTCGATTGAACCCGGCAAACATTGACAGCTCCCTCAATGCTCCCTCAATGTCTAGGAAGATCCCAATTGTGAATACTTTAAATTTGATTTCATCCTCTTGTCCTTCCACGATAGTATGCAGAGCAGTGCCAATTTCCATACCTTTAATATAAGGTTGTCAAATATCTCCCTTCCGCTTTTTTGTCTTTTGAATTTCGCGGCTATGTACAAAGCGCTACAGAGCCCGTATCTGGCAACACTATACATAATTTGAAAGGTCTTGACATAACCTACAAAACAACGCTATGCATGATTAGCTTGGATATTGCGTTCAACAGTTATAGACGTGTAAACATGGAGTTCACTAACGCCGAAATTCGCGCTATTTTAAAGTTTTCCTTCGTTAAAGGCAAATCCGCTAGAGAAACGTTCCGTGAGATTAATGGTGTTTTGGGGGATGGTACTCTATCACTTCGAACCGCGGAGGAATGGTTTCGACTATTCAGAGCCGGTGAAAACGACACCATGGATAAGCCAGCCGGCGGAAGACCTGTGACGACAAATACCGATCAAATCATGGAATACATCGAGTTAGACCGGCATATGGCATCTCGTGACATCGGCCAGGAGATGGGAGTTAGTCACCAAACCATTTTGAACCATCTGCAGAAGGCTGGATACAAAAAAAAGTTTGATGTTTGGGTGCCGCATAATTTGACGCAAAAAAACCTTCTGGACCGAATCAACGTCTGCGATATGCTCCTGAAACGGAACGAACTCGTCCCATTCTTGAAGCGGATGGTGACTGGCGACGAAAAATGGATCACATACGACAATATCAAGCGAAAACGGTCGTGGTCGAAGGCCGGTGAATCGTCCTAAACAGTGACCAAGCCGGGATTGACGGCCAGGAAGGTTTTGCTGTGTGTTTGGTGGGATTGGAAGGGAATCATCCACTATGAGCTGCTCCCATATGGCCAGACGCTTAATTCTACTATCTACTGCGAACAACTGGACCGCTTGAAGCAGGCGATCGACCAGAAGCGTCCAAAATTGGACCAACAGGAAGGGTGTAGTGTTCCACCAGGACAACGCCAGACCACACACTTCGTTGATGACTCGTCAGAAGCTACGGGAGCTCGGATGGGAGGTTTTATCGCATCCACCATATAGCCCGGACGTAGCGCCAAGTGATTACCACCTGTTCCTGTCCATGGCGAATGCCCTTGGTGGTGTGAAGTTGAACTCAAAAGAGGCTTGTGAAAAGTGGCTGTCCGCATTCTTCGCAAATAAGGAGGGGGGCTTTTACGAGGAAGGTATTATGAAGTTGCCGTCTAGATGGAAAGAGATCATCGAACAAAACGGCGCATATTTTAACTAAATCCGATCACTGTAACACTTTTTATAAAGCTTTGAATGAAGAGCAAAAAAGCGGATATTTGTCAACCTTATATAAGCGTGTTGTGCTCCTGAGAAACTATCTCTTGGAATGCAGCCTCTTATGTGACAGTCAATCAGCCTCTCAGTAGAAGAGGTGAGGCTGATTGCCTTAAAGTCCTTGACCATGACAGAGGGCAGGGAGCTTCGTACCGGCCTTCAGGATGAACGCAGCTCTGACCACTGATCGCAGCTAACGATTTCCCATAGATGGGTGTCTGCCAGTTGCACAACACTTTGACAGCATGTTGTAACTGCACTAGTATAATGCCATGCGACCCCGGGGCATGGCGAGTTTAAACGAGTGTTTTGCCTGAGTCAACTTGATTCTTGTACATTGTAAGAGTATATAATATTAGACTGCACCCGAACTTAGACTTTCTTTAATTCTTTTCATCATTTCTTTATAATCTTAATCAGTTTATATTTTAATATACGGCGCTTTTTCATATTTACTTTACTTCATATTTAATAGTCAATAAAAACTGGTCTTAGAAATGCTCTTTCCTAGTTCTTACACTATATCATGAAATAACGAATGTTGAATTTATGTACAATATATATTTTTTTATTTATTTAATTACTAGTATTTTGCTAACACCTGAAAATATTTCAGGGTCTTTATTCTTGCTAATTGCAAAAGTATGTAATGTTCGGCTGCAGCCGAACTTAGGCTTTCTTTACTTGTTTTCACTATTTGATTATAATCTATAACAGTTTATATTTTAATATACGGCGCTTTCTCATATTTACTTGCAGTTGCATATTCAATAAAAACTGGCCTAGGAAATAATATGTCGCCTCCAGAGCAACTGAGCTACATAACGGAAGATATTTGTTATATAGTCATAATATGACTTATTTTTCAAGTGCAACGTCGTTCTATACACCATATAAACATTAACGTTGAGTTGAAAAAAACTGCTACTAATCTATGTATCAGCAACATCTTCAGTCAGTTCAGTATACTGCATTAGTTCCATTTCTGAAACCATTCATATATTTTACGTCATTGCCCTTCATAGAATTGCAAGTATCCCCGTCCTTTTATAGCCGTATTGAACACAACAACAGTTTGAAATTACAAGTATTCAACAAACCAATAACTGAAGTTATGCAGCCTATGTGGTCTACTGCTGCTGTTGCTGCTGCGCATATTCAAGCTGCGTTGGTAGCCGCTGCTGCAGTCGCCAGCAGTAGCAATGGCAATAATAGGATTAGTCCTATTAACTACAAATCCACCAATTCCAAAGCTATCGTCAATAGGAATAATGGTAGACATAGCAGCGCAAATAGGAGCGTCAGCAAAGGAGAAACACAGTCACCAAAACAATGCGATAGTATTGCAGGTGATAACTTTACATTGTCTTCTTCTTTGCCAATATTATTATATTCTACCGATGATGGTGTCACTGCGCCAGAATCTCCCATGACTCATTTAAATACGGTTTATAATAATAAATTTCGTGTATCACAAGTAGATATCGATGACACTGTTAGTTCAAATGAAAAAGGACAATCAGAATTAAATGAAATAACTACATTTAATGCCGTTGAAATGGATGAAGAACTCTATGACCAAGATATTTCGGTAACAGATACACCTCTCAATTTGTCTAAACATCAAATTTCACCATGCCCATCACCACCATCTTTTACATCCACCTCTCCTGGATTACATAAACAGCGTGAAGTATTGGCTTTATTAACATCATCTTCTCCGATATCTTGGTCAGCACCAGCAGAAACCTCACATACGGAAATGAAATCTGATGATAACTCAAGCGGAATGCTTTTAAAGAACTCAATGAGAGTAACACGTTCAGCAGCAGTAGGTTTACCTGGGATTTACTTACCATATAGACCTAAAAATCAGATCCAAAAGCATATCACAGTTACAAGAACATCAGGTACTACAGCACATCGATGTTCATCCCCTTGTAATGATCAAAGGGGAACACATTTAACTAATAGTGGGCTTAGCGAAGCTGGTGCAAATTTATTGGCATGTCGTATGTGGAGCACAGCCGTTAATGCACCGGATACCATCTCAAATCCAGATCCCTTGAATCATCAACAACAACATTTGTTTCAACCAACCAATTTAGGATCAGTTGTTCAAATAGCCTACCGGAGCAGCTCTGAAGGAAGCAATCCAGAAGAAGACATAGCTACAGAAAATATCCGCTTTGCAAACACAATAAAAACCAACTGTGACTCTATATTGAAATGCGTGGAAAAATTGGACGAAACGAAACCAGTCGCTGATCAATTTGGACCTTTAGCAATACCCCAACAGCAAGAACAAAACAAAAATAACCCCCACCAACACTCTCATATTCAAATTGAGCATACATTTTCACCACACGCACACTCTTTACGTCGAAAACACCAAGAAAAACATCTGCTTAAACAAGATATTCTCAGGGTTTCTGAATCGATAGAAATTATGTACGAAAATGACCATAAAAACAAAAATCATTCCATGGCGGCAAATAACTCTAAGGGGCATGTCGTACATGTCACGCCTCACATAAAAAGACCCATGAACGCTTTTATGGTTTGGGCTAAAGATGAAAGGCGAAAAATATTAAAAGCCTGTCCGGATATGCATAATTCAAATATTTCAAAAATTCTTGGAGCACGGTGGAAGGCCATGACCAATGCTGATAAACAACCATACTATGAAGAACAGTCCCGACTATCAAAATTACATATGGAACAACATCCTGATTACCGTTACCGGCCGCGCCCAAAACGCACATGTATCGTAGATGGTAAAAAGATGCGTATATCGGAATACAAGGTCTTAATGCGGAATAGACGAGCTGAAATGCGCCAGTTATGGTGCCGTGGTAATGCCGTTACAGGTGGGGTAGCAAACACTAACACATCCAGCTGTGCCGCAGGACAATTAATTAACGATACGGATATTATCGTTGGCTGCAATGTAAAAAATTCCACTGCAGTAGCTTATCATGTTCAAGATATGGATCATCAAATTAACGACACAATGGTAGGAACATTCGGAGTGACCCATATAGACAATTCAAATGTGGTTATGGAAGGAGCGGTCACTTCGAATGGTGTGACATCACTTAGCGGCAACTTTTATTACCCGCCTGATAGTATGTCACCGCACTCTGGTTTTTCGTCAGAAGGCAACACTCCCAGCTTCAGTTCTCGAGATGATGATTGAAATTATTTGTACAAAATATTATATACATCTAATATTATCAAATAATACCATTATTTAGTTATGTAAAGCTAATACTTAGTAATAATAATTATGTACTTAAGCAATTTTATTGAACCATGTGCCATTCTCACTACGTATACAAAGATCATAAATAAAATGCCAATATATTTACATGCTTATAATATACTCTGTTATGAGCATGTGTATATTGAGTTTTAACATATATTTTTAACCTTCTAGAATCTTGTCCAAAGTTATGATATACCTAAGCTAACATCTATTATTTAGTTAATTACATTTTTGTACACATTTAAATATAAATATTGTAATGCTTTGCTACGTTCTTATTTTATGTACAAATTATACAAGAAGAAACTTAAAAGCCAGGAAGAAAGTAAGTAATTAAAATTTTCAACTCGCAACGATATCTACTGTGCCATAAGTTAAAGTTAAATAGCCCACAAAATGCTTAAAAAATAAAATAATTCGACAAACTCGTGTGTACACATTGGGTAGGCTATAATTACAATATGTTCTTCAAACAATGATCGATAATAAAGATTATTACGTCTTGAATACAAATATCGCAGCCGCTTTTCATTGGAAGGTTTATTATTACCCATGCACAAGTTCATAAGTCTCCCTACACTTAGCTGATAAACCTCACATAAAGTAGTATACTCGTATTTCTAAATTCATAAACTCGTTATATATTAATCCATGTAAACAAGTTGTGAAAGGTCCATGTTCAGTTGCAGCCGAACACTCTCGAAGTTTACAATAAAATTCTAGGTAAAGTATTTAAATATATATATCTGTAAAACGTTATTGTAATAAGTACAGAAGGGCTCAGGTCCGGGTAAAGCAAACATTTTATAGTCTAGCAATATGCAACTGATAAAGGCAAGTAAGGAAGGCCTCCGTTTGGCTGTAACCCAAAATTTGTTACTCTCGCAATATATGTATATGACTCAAAGGCGGTGGAACATTGTCAAGTGTTGACAAAACTGAAAAGTTTTAAAAAGATCCGACATTTTCGAGCCAATTTTTGTTCAGCATTGAGGCCCATTTCTGGCTCAAAGGATATGTAAAGAAGTAAGATTGTTGCATTTAGGACGAAGAGCAACCTAAATATATTTAAGAGCTGCCATTTTACTCAGAAAAATCAACGGTTTGGTGTGGTTTGTGGGCCGATAAAATCATCGGTCCATATGTCTTCAAAAGTAATGCCGGTGAGAACGCAACCGTCAATGGCGACCCTTATCGCGCCATGGTAACCAACTATTTAATACCTGAAATTGAAGCATGTCGTCTTGATGACATTTACAAGTAGTTTCAACAAGACGACGCCACTTACCACACATCGTATCAATCAATGAATTTATTGAGAGAACACTTCGGTGAGCAAATAATTTTACGTTTTGACCCGGTCGATTGACCGCCAGGATCATGTGATATCACACCGTTAGACTTTTTCCTGTGGGGATATGTAAAGTCTAAAGTATATGCGGACAATCCCTGTTCAATTCAGGCCTTGGAGCAAAACATCACGCGTGTTACCAGTCGAAATGCTCGAACGAGTCATCGAAAATTGGCCTCAACGGATCGACCATCTTAGACATAGCCGCAGCCAACATTTGAAAAAGATAATTTTCAAAAAATAAATGCCAAATAATGTTCTTTCGAATGATAATAAACATTCCCCATTAAATTTGAATTTTCTTTGTTTTTGCTTTAAAAAAGTAGGGAACCCTTAAATAGATCACCCTTTATTTTGAGTTTACATATATATTCCCTATTCTAGAGTGAAACTACTAATCTACAAATACAATGCTAAAAGGAGACCACAATTATGCTGATCATTCAGCATTCAGGAATCAGCTGATTGGTACTGATTTGCGTTCTTACTAATTATATGCAGAACTGCATTCTAATGAACTTAAATCTTGAACGTAATGCTTGGCTGAATACCCACGGTTCAGTAATTCTTCTGCGGGACCTGTTAAGCGGCATAATTTCTGTACCGGTCGCTGACATCGCTTTTTAATAGAAAGTCCGCTTGATGATCTCTGATTTGTATTGTACTCAATTTTCATTATATCAGGCCATCACTGCGCGAGTGAACGTCAATTACCCGTCCCATGCACCAAACTGATGCTGGTAGATTTTCAGCACGTATAAGAACTACATCACCATGCTAAAAATTGGGTCCATTTATTCTGAGTCTGATGTGTAATTAGGTATTCGGAATGCTAGCGATGCCAAAAGTGTTCCAGCATTTTCTGGAGGCGTTGCCAATATCGAAGGCGATTTGCTGGATCCTCGGGCAAAAAGGGATCTGGGCGACAATTAAGTGGACGTTCGATACGGAAGTCACTCTGTGTTAGAGAATTCAATTCACGAATTGTGTCCTTATAACTCGGTATTAAGTGGTGCAGATACCTCGTCGACTTATGAAGTGATCGTAATCATCTATAAATGTCTGTGTACTCAAGTCCTCTGCCGCACAATATGTTCCGCTCGTGTGGCCATGCAAACAAAAAGTTCAGTCACCCGGATTTCAACTCGTCTCGTCATTCTGATCATTTATGTAAATATATATAACTCGATATCTATCTCGATTAGTTTTAGTTAAACAACAAACAACCGTTAGGTGTATAAAGCTATTATACTCTGTAGCAACATGTTGCAATAGTATAAAAATAGGCCACATCGGTCGACGGCATCCTATAGCTCACATAGCACAGTAATTGCACTTACATGCCGATGATGCGCACAAATACCTCTCATTGTAGCAAGGCCCTAAAACTTTCAATAAGGTTTTGAAAAAATACTTAAAAGTGGTTTCTTTCACAAAACGATGCTTGAATTTTCTTCTTTTGTTCCAAAACTTTTAACTTAAGCTTTAGAGTTCTAACATGGCACATTTTGATGGTGATTTCAACGAAACGTATTTTTACATGAAGTGGGATAAACCAAATTCGAAATATTTTCTTTTCACGTCTTTACACAGTTAGCCAAGTTATTCATATCCTTTATACTTGCCCCACATATGTATCATTTGGATGAGGATGATTTACTTAAGGCATTGCATACTTTGCCAGCCACCATAGTCTGTTGTAAACTATGCTCAACAAATATCTTTCTATTATATAATATATAAATAATTCTGTCGGCTTGAGTTGATTTATTTTCTTTCTCAACTACTTTTCCTTTTCGATTGACAGTTTGGTTGTCTCTTTTATACTGAAAACGAACTTCCAATTAATACTAAATTTTCAATTGAAGTACCCATGATTCATTCGACTGCATTTAATTGAAGCTTCAATATTCTCGATGTTGTATTGTCTAATAAACTTTGCAACTCCACTTCAGCATGAGATTCGCCTATAGAAATACTTGTACTCTGTGGTTTTCTTTTTTGCGTTTACTATACTTTGATTGCTGGGATATAAATCAAAGGATACTTTGCTACTCACGATGTTTCTTATAAGCAAATTTAGGCTTTAAGACATGGCGGTCTCCAGTATGAGTGAAATTACTTCATTTGGATATGCTGCCAAAAAGTTTGGATTTGAGGTTCATTGCGTAAAGCAGAAACATCGGAATCATCTATTTCAATCAGGTAAGCTAAGCTTTGTTCTCCCTGAAGACTCCGCCAAATCAACCTTAGGACGACCTCGACTAACACTTTCCGCTATTTGCTGAGATGTGTTTTCGGTGGATTTCAATACAATTAGCTCCTTTATATTCAGCCACCCATATTCGTATTGGAGGACTGAATATTGTTTGGTTTACAGAAAGTAGTCCATTTTGTTTACATATGTAGCCAATCGATTTAAAACGTTCTCTCAATTCAGGTATGTAACCATTATTCTCAATATCATATTAAACAATGTCGATCACTTCCTATGACTTCTTTGCGTCGCTACCTTTTTTTGTGCACCACTAATAAAAAATATGCAGTTCTGAATATACACACTGATATGAATCGCCGATGAGAATCAAATCAAAAATTACAAAATGTAACAAAAAATTTCATATTCTTGCAACGTGCAAGAACCAGAGATAAGAAAAAGACTTCAGGTATTGGCTAACTTTATAAATATTAAAAAATGTGGCGAAAGAATTCAACATTAATTATTCCACGAAAATGTGAATGAATTGCAATCAAATTTAGTATTTTATTAAGTTATATTATAGGTCATAGATTCAATTATTTTTATAACTATATTTTACTTCCTGTCAGTAAAAATTATATTAAAGCATCCTCACATGAAATATATCTAACATAAACATAACCGAAGAGGCTAAATTTAATATACTATACGTCAACTAGAAGATCGGAATTGATCGTATTAGGGAAAAGAAATAAAGAATACGGTCTAGACCAACTCCATTCATGTTCAGTGGATTGCTAAAATAACGGGTATTATCATTCGTAGTACAATAACTATAATATCACATATTCTTGGTAGTAAAATAAGGTACATCCAATATTGACCAATATATACGGTATAAGGCAAATCGAAAGTTTGAAAAACTTTTATTAGGTATATGGGAGACAGGTGTGGTATTGACCCGATTTTATCTATTTTTGGCATTACTACATATTATTAACAGAAACAGATGCTCTCTAAGTTTCAGTATGTTCCTCACATACCATCAACAATATATAAGGAGTAAAGTCAATCGCACTTAGTCCACAGAGATGCTTGCGTTTGGAGAAAAACACGCTCACTCAATTTAATTAAGCTAACTCGTGTATATGCCGATATATGGGGTATCGAGTCAGCCGGCAGTTCGAAACATTTTCTATTAGGAATATGAGGGCTAAAGGAAATATTGACCAGATTCAACCCTTTTTTGACATACAGACATACTATTCTCAGAAAACGATTCAGTCCTAATGTCAATTATATATCTCACACATAGACCGATATTTTCTGGAAAAAGTCTGTCGTAGGCTTGGGGTTCACATTTCCGGTATCTGGGCACTAGTTATTGTCCGATTTTGAGCATTTCTAGATCCGAGCTGGCATAACTTAAATGCACGATTCGTGCAAAGTTTTATCCCGAATGTATAATATTAATAGGTGCTGGATTTGTGTGGTCCGTGCTTGATTTGTAGGAGACATGTGATTTCACCCAAGATGGGCGGGCCACGCCCATCGTCCAATTTTGACACCTTTAAAACCCTCTTATAGTATCTCGAATGCAAAATTTAATGTCTCTGACGCAGTTGGTTATTGTTTTACCGCACTTTTAGTAATTTTTAACAAAACCGTTACATGGGGAGTAAGTGTGGTTATCATCCGGTTTCACCTTATTTTCACAGTGTCGCAAGAGCGGTCAAAATGACTTTTAGTTTGCAAATTCGGGTGATATATGTAGCTTGAATGGTTTGCGAGATATAGGTTATCGATTAATGGCGTTTTGTGGACGTGGCAGTGCTCCGATTACGCCCAATTACGAACTCATGGTTACTTTTTTGCCAAGGAACACGTGTAGAAAGTTTTATGACGACATCTCAATTTTTTACTCAAGACACAACTTGCACGGGCGGATAGATATTCATTAATAG